TAAATCGTGTCCCATCTTGAATATGCCACGAAAAGCGAAGTAACAGGTATCAGTTTTATGTGACATAAAGTATATCGTCTGAAATTTAATAGAAGATTCATTTGCTTTATAAAGCACATACAATTTTCTTGGTTTAGTATAACTTTGGCATTATAAACTTGAAAGAAATGCTTTAAATTCAAGTAACTGAAAATGTATGTACCGTAATATAATGAAAGTATAATTAGGGAGGTTCACTTATTTTTCCATCAGGCTAGCGCACATTTACTGTTCAGGCAGACATGTATCAGTTTTTGACTCTTCTAAGAAAACATTAGTTAGGCACTAAAATCGATGATGTAGCTCTGACCTTTGGTATATAAATGCCAATCTCCTTAGCAACTACAGCGGACCGAATAACTTTTGAAACTTTTCAGTTATGCTCGTGTTTAAAACCAATACAAAATCGAGTAAAGTGACTAAGTACTTAGGTAGGCATTCAAACCTGGGTACCTATTCTCGTGAAATGTTATTCATTTAGAAAAACTAAAGATTAGTTGATTACCATTTCGAATGTAAAATCCAATAGAAATACTGCGAGGATTCATAGCGTTCTCGTCAAAGCAGGAATTTTAAATTACACACTATTCAATGTGGAGTCCATCAGTCGTGCCGTGGAAACTGGATTAAACAATATGGGGAATGCTTTAACGATGCACTCGATATCGACATGCGGATGCCTACATGCGATCGCTAAAAGCCAGTAAAAAGTAGAGAGACTATATAACGAGAATATTTCGATAACATTTTCAATATAATGAAAGTTTGAAAGGAATTTCGAATACACAACGTCCGGAGATTGCTATCGCTATCCGTAATTTTGGTGCTAAGTAATACGGAATGGTATCTGATCGATAAATCAGCTATTTGGCTACGAGTTTAAATATTTTACAACTCGAGAAAAGTACTGAATTTCATTTCAATTTTTTACACGGTATTTGTAGTGTAAGTATCGCCTGATGTCAGCAGAAGTTATGACAAAGAACTTTATTGTTATTTAACGACAGAATAGTTTAAAACTGATAATAATATGTACTTATTACTGTGTTATAATAAAGGGACTACTGCTACTAATGGGAAAAGTAACCATTCATTATACATTCTTGGCACACGTAATTTCTTGACAACAGAGGTAGGTTGTATACCCCACCTGTTACGCTAAGCATAAATAACTAGTTACAACTATGTTGTTATACTCACCAACGTACGCACGCAAGCGGGCAGTGTGCCAAAATATTAACGATAGGTACTACGGTCATTACGGATTGTGAAATATAAATAACAAATGAACGATACTTAGTTTATAGATTTTTTATGCTTTTTTATAAACTCTACATCTGTCCTATACACATAATAAGCAAGGATTTTATAAAACTTCTCGATCTTATCGAATACGCCGAAAGATGTAGGTACGTTGGTTTGTATAGGTATAATGTAGAGCTCTAGGAAGCAACAAATTTACTGGCACAGAATTTCTAAAGGTTCGCAAAGTTCCTCTATTACGTGTTACCGTCGTCACGAGGAAAAGATTTATGAAAAGAATAATGAATTCACCACTCCGCCCGTAATATAATAATATCCCACAAAGGACACACCGTCAAGAAATATGATCGATTGTGCAAAAATTGTTAAAACAGTAAATATAAGTTTATGTATCACGTCAAATATGCAGATTAGGCAATTGTTTTCATATATTCAACGGAGAAAGCTGTATAATATGTTTCTGAACGGTTTGTTGATAAAGCGTTCCCTCTCAACCGTAAATTGTGAAACGATTTATCTACTTTGCTTGGAAGAGTCGACATTGTCTGCGACGGTTGCCCGATTCAAAGTGTGGCCGTGAGCTGAGCTCGTGTTCTCTTTGTAAAGCCTCCCTAAGTCTCGAGGTTTATCTACGCCTAACATATGTTATGGTTTGTACCGACATATACATAATTGTATTCTTATAAGTGTCTGCAATTGTCTGCTAATGTTTCAAAGACTTTGTTTTGCTGAGTAAGGTAACATCAAAAAGTTATTATGCAATAAATTCAACATATCACAGGTACCAGGTAAATATGACACATAATACCTATGTATCCTAACTCATGGTATTCAATTCGAAATCTGTAAATATTTGACCATTCTAGATATAATAGGTGCAAATGTTGGAAGCACATTACTATCGCGAAATAAGGTTGACAAAGCGGATATCTTCTACCTGTACAGATCTGAAGAAAGAGAAAAGTTCCTGCTGCTCGTTGATATGGAATACGATTATCAACTTCCAATGTTCACTCGCATCACTTGCTTTGTGTCCAAGTTATTTTTGTAATATTACATTTAGGTACGCAAAATATCGGTTGTATTTACACATTACGCTTTCACATAAATCGGAATCAAATATCGAAATTGAGTAAATATTTAAAATTAGATTGTAGCGTCGAACGCAAATGATATTTTGAAATTGTGAGATGGAACCGTTTTGCCATTTCAAGCTCGTTTATAATATAGCATCCCCGCTCCATTCCAATGTGAATGTAGCGTGATGTCAATACACATGTTTTCATTGAAATTAATAACTTTATACGCCAATCAATACATTACCAGCAACAGACAGAATACCTAAATAAGTATGTACCTACTTACGTATCTACGCGTAGCTACAACAGATTATTAACTGTTATGTTTCATACATTTAGATACATACACATACCTACGTGGGAAGGTACAATTATTTTTAATTACGTGGATTTACTTAGTCGTTGAGTTTATGTAAAGCTAAATTTTTAATTCACCAAAAATCCCTTCGTGTTATTCATTACAACTCTTCAGTCTAAAAATTAAAAAAAAATGTTTTAATCTGTCTGCTTATTTTCTATCTCCGTACATTCTATATAGAATTAAAATGTTCCACGTAAGATCAGGACGGTAATGACATTTTAGAAATTCGGCAGTCACGGTAACGAGTTGGATCGTCAGAGGCTCAACTCGGCTCAGGTGAGCGGGTAATGACATTCTGGAGCGTATCGATCGCGCGGAAATAGCCGGCCGGCGAACAAACCTGATCTGCTGTCGCGCTCCGACCGACCCCGACCGCACCACCAGCATTTGCCGTTCACTTCCTCATTATCCCGATGCTAAACAAACATTGATTGTGAATAAACACAATTACCTATGCATCCCTGTGTCGGATTTCATATTAACGCCAGACACGTAGGAGTCTCACGACACTCTTTTTATTCTTCACTACTTTCCGTTTAATTGCACTAAGAAGACACCGTTTTCTTCTTAATTTCGAAACGTCGCGTTCGCATATAATATCAGCTCTACATTAGTAATAAGTATTAACTAACTTACAATAACATGATATTGTTCAATTTGAACGTACTAGGAGATAAAAATTGCCAACAGTTCCTAAGCATAAACCAAACCGTCATAGATCAATAAACAAACTTAGTGCATCTACTTATTATAACATACTATACACTTCATACACAATACGTACATACATAATTAACTAAGCGCCTACAACAGATTAATTATTCCTCTAATCTGTAATAAATACCGTAGCCATGTTGTAATCAAACTAAATCCACATACGATTATGTAGCTTAAGCATAACAGTGCCAGCCCGACAGATTTCAGTGAATCTATTTGTGAACAGCCTACTTAAATATAGGCACCTACTTACCTAAGTTATGTTTCTATTCAGCTGTTATATATATACCTATATAGTTGGTTAAGGTAGGTACCCACTATGACTAGGTACTTACCTAATTTTAACGATTAACAGTTAAACATGTTTTGGCGAGGTAAGTACGTAGTACCTACCTAAATGAGTTTTCAAACTGGAGGGCGAAGACTAATCCAATAAAATTAAGATTATTCAAATCAGTCCAGTTATACGTCCATATGGCTGATCGATCAGTCAGTCAGGTCAGTCAGAAATTCAACTCAACAAATCACATCAACAGTCTATATGTGTCCACTGTTAAACAATGGCCCCTTAGCCTCTTCTTACATCTCCATGTATGATATGATTATTATAAGTAGGTATTTTATACACCAGCGAGCAAGTGAGAATACAGAGCAGAAACGACAATAAAAAAATACCATTTAGCAAAACCAGAAGTTGTTCGATACCTTCCTGTGCATTCATTAAGACAGTTAACTTAATTAAAGTAAGTCAAGATTCTACACAACTTTACTAATAAGTAGTTGAATAGTTGTTGTATACGTACTTGTACCTAGTCATTTTGAATTTACCGCGCAGGCCGCGCCTTTCGATTCTGTCATTTCGTATCTATAGTTTCGATTTAGTCGATTATCATTAGCATATTGTCTATACTTGAAGTATACAACATTCTCAAGTTATAAAATGTATATGAAATGCGGTCAAAATACTTTTTCTTCAATAAATTATATCTACGACATAATAATAATTTACTTAAAGCAAAATCAAAATCAATTTAATACTAGTTGCTTATAGCGCAAACTCAACAGTGTTTGGCATGTGGAAAGGGGCGTCGGCACCGCTCCATTGCCGCGCATGCGTAAAGTAATCCTCCTTCGACCAATACCATAGACAATTTTTCGTTATCTGGCAAGCAAAATCTGCTTTTTGTTTGTAGGTTATGTTTTAGTGATTAATTGTCAAAATTTATGTTGAATATTTTCGTGGAATTTGTTCAGATAATATGGAGTGGACATGAACAAGTTACTTGTGTCGCTTTGTGAGTTATTCTGTAGATCTTCGGTTCTAGTAACATATTTTACATCTATCGTCCGTTTAATGACTGTGTCGAACTCGGAGTAATACTTGACATTGAGTTATTGAATTGAGATGTGAACACGAAAGTGGATACGCACTCGTCACCGTACATCAACATCGTGAAGTTTTTTAAGTAAACCTAATACTTTGTGGATCTCTATAATTCACTTTCGTTATTTGTAAAGTTTAGACGTAAGCCGTCAACACAATGACGATGAGTCAGGTATCAGTTATGAAACTTTATAATACAGTGGTGGACGACGTGATAGCAGGAGTAAGGGATTTTTTTCTGGACGATGGTGTCGACGAACAAGTGCTGCAGGAACTAAAGCAATTATGGAAAACAAAGCTGCAAGCTAGTGGGGCCATGGACCCACCACAGCCTGAACCACCCATACCGCCGCCTCCAGCACTACAAAACTTTCAAAAGGCCAATGGTAACAATGTATTACCTAAGAGAACTGATACACATTTGGTGCAGCAAGGTTCCAGCCAAAACTCAGGTGTAGAACATGGTGCTCCAGCGTCTAACATAGCAGGCGCACACCCGCATCACGTGATGGATCCTAATAACAAAGTGCCTGTGCAACTCACCCTACCAGCCCAGCCTGGTGTGCCCGGCTCGCAACCTCGTTCATTTACCATCCAGATTCCTGCATCGGCCTTAAACGGCAATAAATTACATCAAGTGCTCACTGGCCCTATCATAAATGCAACTATAAGCCTACCTCAGCCTTTAGCTGCAACATTATTACAGCAACACATTAACTCTGCACTTGCTGGCCAGCAAAATGAGTTTGATGGTGGTGGAGGTGGCCGCAGTGGAGCTGCACCCTTCTCACTAGATGGTGCTCTTGATTCTTCTGATGATGAAGGCTCAAATGGTGGAGATGGATCAGAAGATGGTGCAGGAGATGACGATGAAGATGAGGAATCTGCTGAAGAGCGTGCTGAGGAAGAGGAGGAGGAGCGGGATGAGAGTGGAGGTGCTGAGGAGGAACCCCTTAACTCTGGCGATGATGTTTCTGATGAAGAACCCGGTGACATGTTTGACACTGACAATGTGGTGGTTTGCCAATATGATAAAATTACTCGGAGCCGCAATAAGTGGAAGTTCTACCTTAAAGATGGTATCATGAACTTAGGTGGGAAGGACTATGTCTTTCAAAAAGCAAATGGTGATGCGGAATGGTGAAAATTTCCTAAGAATGAACAAATAAGCTGTGTGTATTTTTATAGAAGGTGTAACTTGTTGTATCTGACTGTTGGAATGTAACTACTAGGGAATACAAAAGACAATGGTGAAATACTGTCACAGATATTATTTCATTAATATCATAACACACATTGACTTCAACCGTAGTATGAGTATGGATCATATATTCTAATCCTTGTAAATTCTTCCAGTTATGCAATAATTGTAACATATGCCTAATATTGCACAAACTGTTAATAACGATAGAACAATTAAATACAACTGCTACTAACAAAATTAGTATCATTATCAGAGCACATTGGTAAAATTGTACTTTGTGTGTACACATGTTACTTTACATATTCCTTTGGAAGTAATCATTAATTTAACTGCATAGAGTATCTAATGTCTCCTTATCTCTTGTGTTCTATACTTTATCAATTTACCTAACAAATAATACTTCACTTGTGTACTCTGGACTCTGACAGGATTTCACTAATACTCTATTCTATTGTTTCATAAACACATTATTATTGTTTGTTTCCCTAACTTAGTTGTAAAAATGTAACTTTGAACCATATTAAACAAGTGAATATAATTCTATGAGCATTCACTCAACTAGCTTGAAGTCAATGTTAGTAATGCTCATGAAGACCAAATGTTGGTGATGGTTCAATGATTATGAGCTTGTAACATTAGTTATTATCCAAATTATTTAAGTGTACTATAAATATTGTAATCTGCTATATTAGCTTCACTATAGTCCATACATAATCCAATCATTGTAAAGGTAGAAAATATTCCAAATATATGTGTATTATATAACTTGTGCCATAACAAAGCAATAACTATGAACAGTAACTGTGTTTGAAAAAAAACCATTAACTGCAATTTATAAACTGCTTATCCAAACACAGGCATTTTGTAGCTTATGATTGGTAATGAAAAGGCTTACATGTCCAAATAGTACCTAATTTCATTTTGTTGTTTTTCTCGAGAGTAGAAATGTGAATAGAATGTACATTCATAATGTGATTCCGGGTACATTTCAGTCACTTGGCAGAATTTATTTATGTATTTTATTTTATTTGTTACTTAGTGAAGCTGGTAGCATTTATGTTAATGTTAGTGTGATGATTATATAAGTCCAAATTATTAAGTAATATGTACTCAAACATGTTATGACATAGTTACTTCATTTGGATTAGCATAGATTGAGTTTTACATCCAAACATTATTAGTAAGAGTCTTCAATATTATAAAAATAACTCTGTTCTTTTATTACTGTTATTGTATATATTTTCTTAACTTTCCTTTCAATGACTATCTAAATGTACTAGCTTGAAATAATTTCAGATATCATTCACTCGCACACTGGAAGGTACTTGTAAATGACACCTGAGTACCAGATGAACCTTTCTATAAGGAATATGTGAATATTATGTAATGAACATCCAAATTTTGAGCTCACTTTAGTTTAAGAATGTTTTGTCTCAGTTCAGGCACTAAGTTATTATATTGTGATATCTATGTTAATAAACTTATTGTTTTCTTTATCCACAATGGGTGGAAATTTGGAAATGTATACTAAATTTATTTGTAATTAAATGATCTTAATGTTAATGGTACATGCAGCGCGTTCCATCAATCTAGTTAATTCTCAAATAGATGTATAATAAGTTTTCTTATGGTTTGTTTCAATCCCTTAAAAGTTTGATGAAAGTGGTAATTATAATAAAATATGTCGCAACACTTGTGTTTTTCACTTTACTACTTATTATCCTAAATGGTACATCTTTAATCATACAGTTTATATTAACCCTGTCAGTAATTAGCCTATGGGAACCAGAAGTCCAGACTCTGGGTTCGATTCCCGCCTCGGTTGTCTAAGTTATTGGGAAGTTAGGGCTTATGCTCGGTATGTAGCAATGAGCTCGCACTCTATTACTGGGACATAATAATGTGTATAAGTATACGCATAAGTACGCATAAGTACTTAACTGATAAAAATGGTGGTCATATTGAATGCCTGCCTACCCTATCCGCGATTTAATGGTGTAGGTAATATTATATTTCATAAAAAAAAAATCATTTAAAAAAATTATGAATTTGAAAAATTCATAATTTTACCATAAATTTCATTTTCAAAGTAGTAAGATTTTAACCATCTACATCAATACATTTTATCTGAGAAATATAGAAATTTGAGCCCAGCGATAACTCCCGCTTATAGAGATTTAGATCTAGATTGGAATTCAGGGCGACGTAGGTACATTTTGTGACTTATTACTTTGGCCAAAAACGACATCAAACATGAAAGATAACATCATTAGGTTACAATCCAACCCGCATTGGGGAGACCTGCGTTGCGAATTACTTTTACGACCCGATATTATGTGAGGTAGCATGAGTATCTGCGATAGTGCGATTTCTGAACAAGAGTCTCAGGCTCGTTTCCCAAGTTGAGCAAAGTAATATAGAAGGTTTATCAGTTTAAAAAAAAAACAGTTGGTCGGTAGGTTATGTAATACCTATTATGCTTTTTGAAAAAAGAACTCAATGTTCGTGTTCTGGAGTTCTGGACCGTGGGGCTCCTTCAGTGTGTTACAGCTACAACGCAGTGGTTGGCAGTGATCAGATGCGAAAACCTGAACATTTGGATCGGTGCTGTGCTATTCCAAAGAGCTCTGCCCGGCAGTGGACGTAAACAAGCTGATAATGACGTGTTATTTTTTCATGAATGTATATACATACATGTTCAGCAGTAGGACAACTAGGTACAGTTGGAGTAGAATTCCTTGCCAAAGTCTGTGTTTCCAGAAGGGTACCAACCTATGTAGATGTATTTATCCATGTCTCGAGTGATATAGGTAGGCGTGCTCCATTGTCGGCCACATTATTGCTTACCACAGGGGAATCAGTGGTCAAACGCCGACCTATTAAGTACCTAGTGTCTATATAGGTAGGTACCTACTTATAAAAAAGGTTGATTAATGAGATAACTACTCCTAGTTGGAACTGGATAGCAAAGTTATTATACATATTGTTAGGTGTCTCGAGTGTGAGGTTTTGCTTTAAAGTTTTGTTGTTCTTGCCCTCAACTTAAAATAAGGCGCTTAGACTTCTTATCCATTAAGGAGCCGCGGAAGACTTAAATGATTATCGGAGCTCCGACTCGAAGTGCAGGAGTAGGAAAGTGGTTTTTAATCAGTATGAGTCTGATACTCTGCCTCTCGCCTCACCCGGGCGGGTGAAGTCATTGGGTGATTTTCCCCCACAAAAAACATACTTCTTATCCATAGGTTCCTTTGATGAAAGTACCTAAATCGGAATTGTTAGTAGTCAAATGAGGTTAAAAAATAAAAAGATGGCTATTTAGGTACCTATATTTGGAATTATTACATACAAAATATCTAATTGCGTCAATTTATAAGTACCCATCTCCCACTTACTACCTATTTGAGAGATGGCAATCGTCCTAATTATATGGAGTATTATATAAGTGCAAATATACATATCTAGGTATAATAAAATCGTAGAAATCGAATATTTGGAACTGTGAATCACTATTCCACGCGGACGAAGTCGCGGGCTCACCTCGTTTGCAATATAATTTTACTACTACTACTGCATAATAATAAATTATTATGTTATTTACATATTTTTGGTATCCACCTAATGCCAGGATGGTTGGTGGGGTGGCTGAGCAACCGGCTGCCGCGCAACGTATCGCGCGTTCGATTCCCGTAGGTTCGATTCGTTCGTACGTTTGTAAACGCACCCATGATACAGGAGAAAATCCTAGAGGGGGAGGAGGGCAACATTTCTTTAAAAAAGTTATGTTTTATATTCTATAAGAACGCACACTTAATTCCGTTGTAGCTAAATGCATATAGGTAAGTACGTAGTAGACATGTACTAGATAAAGTACTTAGTTGACTTTGGGCTGGTACAGGGGGACTCAAGGTAGATCCGTAATGACTCAAAGTCACAAGACGTTTTTGAAGTGCTCTCACCGATTGTTGTACATTATTAAACAGTAGTAAAGCAGTAAAGCCATTAGTTGGTTCAAAGTAGGTAGGTAGGTAACATAAAAGACAAAGTAAGTCTCTCCGGCCGGCTCTGACTGAGCCGGCTCCAATTATCTACGGTAATCCGGCGCAGCGGGCCGAGCTAGATAGCCGCCTGTAATCGACTTACCCGCGCGATTTAATATCGCACTCAATGTCCCAGCAAAATATTTACGTAATTTTCCTCCGACCGGCTTTGTTCGCTGAAACAAGTTAAAATCAGCTATCTACAGTGTCTAAGGTGAATATTCAATATAAAATTTTATTCACGATCGTTATTCCTTTCCAAAGTTTGGCACAGCTGCCGATAAGGTAATTAAGTAGTTTGTATTGTTTGTAAATGGAAAGATACTTAGTAGATTAAACTTTTCTACTTTACAACTTTATCAATATTGTCTCACTGGACGCTAATATTAGATACCTCCTAGGTATGCTCATTAAAGTTTGTCTAATAAAGGGGGTCCATCATTACCTCAGTTATGAACACAAAATCAGTGACTCATTAATTGTAGGTAGGTGTATGTCTGCAGTACGTACCTTACCCGGAGACTAGAGACTGAATCATGTGCTTTGCTGTAGCGCTTACTTCTACGTTACAACCTGAAAGCCAATATTAACGGCAACTATAATTACTTAGTAAGAAGGCTTTTTATTTATAGTGAAAAAATCCCTGTATTATTTTATTTTCTTAATATCATGGAATATTTTATTTTCTTTCTCGTTCAAAAGTAGATAGTAGGTAAACCTCGAGTTTGTAATTCCACTCCATCCTGATAGTATCCTATTTCTCAGTGAAAATAAATTGTCAACAAAGCCGAACGACTCATTTGAATGCGAGAGATAAGGATCGGTTTAGGCCAACAGACCTGTAAATCTTTAAATAAATCACTATTTTGGCAATACCACTTCTGGTTTGCCTACATTCATCTTGATAGTAGACAGCTAAACGAGATACTGCGGAGTTGTGTACCTTGCTGGGGACAGAAAGTAACGAGTATCGATTTAACTAGCATTCTCCCTCCGACCGTGCAAGTCGATTCGATTCGGGTGACACACTTTACCGGTGATAGGCACTCACAGAAGCGTGCAATTTGTTACCAGCGTTAAGCTAACCCCTAGTCCCAAGTTACACTGGCTGTTATTCATACGTAATAACCTATTCCAAGTTATTTGTTGTTCATGTTAATGTTAGTTTTGAATCCAATACTTTGAAACAACTTAACTTTACTAAGATACAAGACGATATCTGTTTACTTTATGACAGTTCTATAGTTTCCGTTCCTTGCTAAGAAATGTTAGACGTAGAGGCCCATCTTTAGTTTTAATGTGACCTTTACAATATTATTTGTTGTTTTCATTTTCCTTGGCTTCAGGTTACTAGTTAGTAGTTTGATACTGAGATAACATTAAAACTCTTAATACAATTACTGAGTTTTTAATGTTTATAATTTCTGAGCAAATACTTATATCGCTTCAGATAAAATCGTAGTCATATATTTCAAAATACTTAGGTACAATACGTTGCGTTTTCAATCATAATGGCAACAAAATCTCATCAAAATTATTTATTGTGAATCACTGAAGTAAACCGATTTTCATTTCAGATTAGACAGATAGGTATGTCACTAACAAATTGAAACGTGTCAGTAGAAAGATACTACAGGTACCACAAGTAATTTCAGTTCGTATTCGAAATCTCTACAGATTTCGAATACGAACTGAAACGAATACGAACGAATACGAACTGAATTACTCGTACAAGTACCTACCTGCGTCTACACGCAGGTAGGTACTTGTACGAGTAATTCCATCAGTAAACGAAATCGGTTCCATTTGACAATTGAGAAATAGAGAAAACGTCAAGTGAAACCGATTCCAATTAAAATTGAAATTAGGTACGTGGTTGGTGGTTAGGTTACTGCTGCCGACATAATGTATTTGAGTAACTTCTTTATGTAGGTATTGTTTATTTTAAAAGGTTCCATAAATAGCGAGAGCTCAGACGAATCGATTTTATACCTAGTCTATTATATTTGTGAGTCTGTCATTGTATTAATATAGACAAGTACTTATGTACTTAAGCATCAATCTGAAAAGAAAGACGATAAGACCCCGCGAACAAAGTGCTAACCTGTTGAATGCCTGTGTGGCCGCGAGTATAGCTTCATTCTCTCTCGGCTTCCCCGGCGGAGCGGTCGTTATCGAACGAGACCCAACTCCACAACAATAAGTACCCATACCCAGTACCACTCAACATTTAAGTGTCTGCATTTATTTTCACTTTGATCTAACATATATTTTTTTCTTTCCAGGTACACGTTCTCTGAAGCCAGTGTTGTGTGTATAATCATCTCGTGCGGTGAGATAGTTGGAAAATGTCGTGTTTCGGTGGCAGCGTGCTGATCCCCGATTGAGTAAGAAGTGTACTGTGATGTTCAGTGTAGTGTGATGATGTGAGTGAAGTGAAGTGCTAAATAAAAAGGAAAACCGACATCATGTTGCCCACAAACGTTATGTCCTTCATGAAAAAGGTGAGTGGAACTTTATATCAGCATACATCATATTTCCAGGTCGTCAGCCTACATAAACTATGAAGCTACTAACTAATGATGAGTTTTCCTAAGGGTGTTTTCCTCATATTTTACAAGAGTGTTGATTTTACAGTTTGTATGATATAATTGAATACTATTGTGGGTTTACTCGCCCATTATCCTTATATTAACTCTTAATCCCCTCTCACCACTCTCGCGGGCAGTAATTAAGCGTTACCCATCGTGACCGATAAGGCACGGATTGATTAATAGTATTCCTGCGAAGTCATTTTCTATTGTGCCTTTAATCTACCTGGCCCAACGACCGGAGGCTCAAGTTTCGTCCTATTATCTGCGCAGATGAGAAATCTTTCTCCAATACTGAACCCATTGATTTTAAATTACCTCTGATATCAAATCCAAAGAGTTTCGCAACTCGAGAGGTAACTAATGAACTAAAAGCCTTTCTGCTCAATATTTTTACTTGCTATGTATCTTTATGTTATTGCCTACCCAATATTTGAGTTGAGACACAAGTTCCATGTTTTATTGAGTTGGGAATGTCAATAAAACCGGGAATTGGTGTATTAATTTTCGGGCTAAATCTTTCGTCTTTTATTTACTCGTGGATAGAATCCATATAACTTATTAATTATTATTTCTTTATTAAGAGAGGAATTATTTTCGGTTGATTGTTTTTTCCGCCTTATAAAATCAATGAGCTCTTCAATGAATTGTAAGTCTTCTGTTTTGAATCTTTTCGCTATCCTTTAAAAAATATAAATAGCAATAAAAATAAAACGTTTTAGACCATTTCTCAGCAGAAATAATAAATGCACCTAATTGTTTACTAAATAGGTAAGTATACAACCTACAACTGTATTTGTTTTACACTGAAACGTTGTTTGGTCCGAATTATTAGATTAATTATGTAAATGAAAAGACAATTAACAAATAATAAACTCACGAGTCACGTCAACGGTACCTACATTACATTTTTTTCGTGTTTATTGTCACAAAACTCGCCATCCGTGTTATACAGGAATCTTTGTTTTGATTTTATTACCGCCTCGCCTTAATTAAAATTTTCTATGTAGTCCTTCGCTACTCTAATATAAATTTTAATGTGTCCAGCTAACTGAAATTCCTTTATATTTCTATTTAAACTTTTTTAGCTTTTAACTAACTGGGACAGCAATACAAAAATTGCATAGTTAGATACTTGCGTTCTTTTTCTTTCGTATGAATAAAAGTAGGTCAACCATTGTTATCCAAACTTAGTTATTTCAGTTTTAGGGCCTATACTTAAGGAAAGCAAACCTATGCGCAATAAAAATAATATTTTATCTTCTGAAGATCTAATAAAACCCTAAAAATAAGAAGAATAGGAAAAAATCTTGTATGAAACACCAATCGCGAACAAGTAAAAAGGGGAAATATTGTGGTTTTATTGTAAACTCTCTTTTACTCGCGGCTACGTCCACGGAATAAGATATTATCCCCCGGGAACTACGTGTGCTCTCGGTATAAAAGTAGTCTGTCCTTTTCCTTATATTTTCTCAAACGAAATTCCATTACGAGCCTTTGTTTCGTATAACTATTATTATACGACGGTCAACTAAACGATTCTTTGAATAAACACTACTTAAAGTCACATTAAAAATGAAATTACGCGTTGAACTGAAAAAGTATTTATCTTGAAGGTTACATTTGAAAATATTTATTATATTTAACATCACATTAGCATTTATTGTTGTTAGTGTCAGTAATCAAAGAAGTAGGTTCCCGGATTCTTACTTATCCTTAAATAAACATTAAAGGAGTGTAGTTTTTAGGTACTTTAAAATATCCCGACTTTCAATACGTACCTGTAAAAACTGATTTTTTTATATCTTATGTCCCTGATCCGAGAAGTAAAATGTAGTACCAAAATACCAACTACTCGTAGGTGGCTTGCATTCATACCTCACATAGGAATCCCGATTTAGATGTCCGACGCGGTGCGCAGAAATTCGATTTGCGATTTAAAAAATCCCTAACACAGCGCGTCTACTTCGATATTAAAGTTCGAAGTCTTATAACGAAACTATTCGAGCTCCAGCTCAGTTATTCGATCCGTAATTTGTGCTTCATCTTCGACAGAAATTCTACACTTTTGAAAATGCATGATAGAAAGTACCTAACTATGCAATATGCCTCTATACTGCAGTAAATAGCAGCTTTTGAATAGTTTGTTGGCTATTCGAATAGAAAGTAGATAAATGTGTTTTTATGTATGTGGATTCATTGTTTCTGGTAGTGTGTGAATGTGATATCTCGGTTCTATCGAGGGACCGGTGCGAGTGGTGCCAGTTGCGGCTCACTGGCGCTTCCTGTGAGATGAATTAACGCTCCGTCGAGCGGAAACGTCTTTCTTTCTGATCATAACAATATTATTGAGTTCCACACTAATGATACATGTAATATGTGGACTACAAAATAAATGTTATTAATATCTGTGTCAAGATGCACAAGGTTATGTTATGAAGGTATATTTTGTACAAAGCTTACCTTCATGAGGTAGACATAGGTCATACACGAATAATAGGTTTCTCGATATGGTAAATGTAAATAAATAAATATATAAATAAATAAAAAAAATTAAAATGTGAATGTGCAGTAGTAAACACTTGTCTTGACGTAGTTTAAAGGTAAAGTTCAGTCTAATTTAGTGTGGCCTTAGAATAAAAAAGAACTGAATAGATACTTTTACGTATTTCATAAGATATTCAATCCTACTGCCAAACATTCTGGCAACTCATTAAAAACTGTGGTTTATAATAGCTCAGCAAACATATGCAAAAACTTTGCCGGGAGATTCGAAGTGTAAAAGTAGGGATTTTTATTTTCTCCAAACATCCTGCAATTGCTCAGGGCTGGGTGGTATGAGGCGGGGAGATCGAGAGGTCCACTGAATGGAGCCGCACTCCATAATGGCGCCCTCGCTGACGACTCTATTAGCACACTGGCAGCTGCATAAAGGTGCACCTTATCAAAGCTCGCATATTAAAGCGAGTCTTTTACAGAACTGCTGGTCTACATTTTTTGCCCAAAATAAATAACATTCTGTGAATACTCCGTTAGCAAACGACGTTAAGTTGGCAAACGTATTCCTAGTATTTGCTTTCATTAACTAACCTAGGAATGTAAAACATAGAGGTATGTACCTATGTCTGATACGTTTGTGTACATAGCTTCTTGTTTGAATACTACATTGTAATTAGGAACATCTTAATAAAGGCATATTGCAATGAAGTAGGTTTAGTAAAAATGTTTACTGAACTTTTAAAACCAATCTCGCTCCGTTTCTCGGCATCGAATGAAAACAAAACGAAATGAACGGTACGCTCGCTCTGTGAATGTTTTATGGATATATTTTGCATTTTAAATGCCGATTTTCCGTTAGGTGAATCAATTACTTATTTGTAGATATCGCCTATTATCAGTTTCAATAGAATCCTGTATTAAATACGAACATTAAACTTGTCATTATTTCACCTGCGTCGCAGAACTAAATTAACATTGGATAGCTAGGGGTCGTCCGGTGACCTCCATCTTCCCGAAGGACGGACGAGCATTGACAGGGCAAACATGTACCCAAATGACGTTTAACATTAGGTAAATCTCCCCTAACATGTATTTCAATCTACATTAAGTATTCAGTGAGTAGGTACTCCTGTACTCGTGATTCATATTTCAACCCTTATCAAACTTAACTAGTACTTCGCCAGACATATCATACTGTTGACACTTATCATATTGCGAACTCAATTGATTTCAGCAGCAAATATTGAAGGTAAACATTCCTGATGAGTCTAAATTAAGATATCTAATTTTGAAAACCAGAATAATGAAAGACTACACCAAAATGTGATAGGCTAAAATTAAAAGCACACTCAATCGACGAGAATGCATAAAGAGATTGATGAATGTGGATGAAGCGAAAAAGGCGTCATCTGGCGTGAGGGTATTGGTAAAAATAGAAATTTATTGAACAAAAATTACAGGAACTATGTTATCAAAAGGTATCACGAATGGTAAGTATCTACATTATACTTATATGACTATAAAGTATAATCAAAGCCAATATTACCTGGCTAATTGATCATGTATCTTAATGGGCCCATATAACACGGCTAGTAGCTGTAACATTATTTATTACTCACTCATCAATGAAATGAAATGAACATAATCGTTTACTCGCTGAAATAATATTATTACACAATTAAAACTTGTTATCTTGTTATCAACAGTAGGTAAGCCGCCATTAAACATAACGACACTTATTTCCACATCAGCTACTTTGTAAGTAATATAAAATGAGACTCATGATAAAGCTCAAAGCGTACGTATTGATTTTATCCCAGTTTCTGTTATTTCCAAGTAAATTAATATGGCTCCAGGGTATTTTTAATTCTCTTTCTCGTTGACTTACCCTCGACCGGTATTGAAATCGTATAAAGACGAGTGACGAAGTCGGCGCAAGACGTTAAGAGGCACCCGATCCGTATTGGCAATATATGCTACGAGTTTGTAGGTTGGAGCCGTACAAAGCATAATAGCTCTGTAGAGGCTCCGGTCAGCATCTAACAATATATTGAACCGAATCGCAGTGACGTATGTAGAGACAGAGCCATTGTTAAGAACTGTTCCAGTGTTTCGAAGCTTTGATGTACATAGGTTTGTTCAAATATAAACAATATACTACAAATTGACAAACATCATTAATATGGGAGCACACAACATTTTGAGAGCCAATCAAAAGACAGTTCCATCAGAGCTAGGTCGGGCAGCCGTCAATACCTCCTGTAAGTAATTAAACTACTTTGATGATTGCCAAATGCTACGGCTGTGCGCCTGTCGCTTGTATAGTTAACTTATGCATTATGTATTCGAATTTTAAACAGTTCCGTGTACAACGAGCGAGCTGCTAGTGTGTAATTAATTCTGTTCATTTTCAA